GCCCCCCCCCCCCAAACAGAAGTCCCTTCATACACAATCACAGGCGGGAGGAAACTCAACGTCAAGGCCACAACATTTGCCTCTGTCCAAGAATAGCATTCATCTGAAAAGACACGTGGGACGGCATAAAGAGCATCATTCTTTACTGAACAAGAGGGCCGCTTTTGCAATAAACGTCTAGACTTGTATTTGGAAGGGCCTCATTCGTGCTGTTCGATATCATGATGTGGTTTTCAACAGCGTCTCCTGGCAAATGTCATAACCGTATCTTCAAAACAGCACGACCGACTCCTACCAAATCGTTATTTATTCACCATTCATTACATTCTCCCCCATTTAATTCGATATTACATAACCTCTAAAGCTAATACAGCACTACCTAATATGTTAAAATCAATCACTTCACATCTACTGGTGTTTTAAGATTTTTCCATTTGTATTCGATTCATAAAAATTTAAGAGACATTTTAGTGATTTACAAACACGCGATGTGCATAGGAATATAAACAATTATCTATTTTGGTAATGAATCTCTCTAACTATTCCTCTACCCATACGTCCGTCCGTCCATCCACCTATTTAACTAACCGAAAACCCTAACCAAGAGCGGAGTATTGCGCTAAGTTCTCGCCTGGTTCAGAGAAGAGGTGACCTTTTGCTCGCTGAAATATCTTCAACAGTCGACAGGCCTTACACCGGAAAGCCGGGTTATTAAACTAATTCCTGAAAGGCCAAGGACAAGATTTATCTATATATTTATCAGCCTGATACACATCAACATGTCTGTACTTAAACTATGAATAGTATCGGCCCATCTATCTGTCTATTTATCCGTCCCTTCTTCCTTCCTTCCTTCATTCTGTCCGTCCGCCCATCTGATTTAGCAAAGAAATTAGATACTTGTTCAATGGCGTTTACTTATGCAAATAACTCAAATTCAGAGAAATGGGCTGATTGTTATTTTGTTCACAAATACCCTACCTCATGTTTTGAAGTATCAGATATTTTATGAACTATTTTTCCCCAGTCCCTCCAAGACTGTTATGTTGTGCCAAATGTTGTACAGCCAACAAAATTGGATCAGGTCCTCACAAGCGTCATAGAGACAATGACCAAATTTGTATTTAAAATGCCTTCAAAAATGTAATGCACCTAAAATAAAAATACCAGTGTAACGTTGAATTTTAATGTTATTAATGAATAATGAATGTGCACTTACATCTTAAATAACTTAACAGGTTCGACCTTTTGACAACCATATATTGAGATTTGCCTCTGGCAAATTATTCAAAATTGAAGATGTGAGTGAAATACTGAAACTCTGAAGTTCTGGAGCAACATAATTATTTTTCAGAAAGCGCTTCTTCTAATTATTTGTAGCCAAAACAAGCAACTTTTTTGTATGTTTGCTAAACTATACATAAGAAATTTTTAACTATACTGGTTAACACCCATTTAAAATTTCATGTGCAAAATTAAATACATGTGGAGAAAATATTCCTAACATCTAAATTAATTCTAATGAAGATTTAATACAGTGTAAAAACTCACTCAGTGTAATGGTGCTTTTACTTTTGTGTCTGCCATCTGGAGCTTTTTCTCTTCAACTACTGACAGTCACTACTGCAGCTAGGTGTCTTTTCCATGTTTGAATGTTGTTTCCACACTGTGTCCAGGCTAAACACACTCTTAATCTACTCATTCTAAGTTATGACAGGGATTATAGTGTTAAATTTCTTGACGACACTCACACTTTATCTATATTAAAATCTACAACGTACCACAACACAAAGCACACAATCACATGACACAAACCACACTCTACCCATTTCATTCTGCCATTTTCTAGAAGCAGCAGAGTGGACAACAGCTAAACACAACATTTCTCCATACAGCAAACCGAATAGTCCTGATTCCACGGATATATACATACACACACACACCACATACGGAAGGCAATTAAATGCAAGGGAGCGGTACAAACGCATTTAGACAGAAGCATTAGAAACATTTAGACATGCATAAACAGGCGACCAGAAGGCGGATGAACAGATCAGACACAGTAAACATAACTTACGATATCACATGGCGCGGCGGTCGGTGCTGATACAATGACTAATCAAACGCGTTCAGAATTAGCAAAGAGAAAGATGAAAATGTGCTTCATTTAATCATACTCATAACAGGCCCACATCACTAAGCTACGAAGAGCAAACCACATTTTCTTTAATTGTCTAAAACCTTGGCTATGTTCTGTCTTCTAAACTTATTTTACTTAATAGAGGCGGCGTCATATAATGACAAATGCATTTATGGTAGTACAATATTCCCACACGCGATGTTTTTCATGTGCAGGTGTCAACACGACAAACCACATACCCACCAAGTCTGAAAGCATGGACTCGACCAAATATTCCAGCGAAACTGTGACTCTGCGGTCTCCATGAAATTATAAGACGAAATGTCTTTCGGTTAGATGTCAATCTACAGGAACTGTCCGTCATTATCAATTCCGAGAACATGCTGAGTATTCATCACACAATTCATTTGTAGGGAACCTAATAAATTCTCCCTCTTTACACAAGCCGGAAGTCTTACCGACGTCAGCCAGACAATGGAACGTAGCATGGGCGACGAGAAGCCAAACAAAGTACCCAAATGTTGATTGGTGTAATTTATCATTGCAATAACAAGTCTTTTTGTGTGGCTTTGTAGGTAATTCAAATCATGAACGCAGTTCTAGAGTAGATATTATATCGACTGCAATATTTTCCCCTATTTTATTTGAATTAGACAAAGAAAGACAAACGCACTTATTTCTCTTCAGGTCAATGGTTAATAACAACCCATTACTGCTATTTCAGTAATTTCGAGTGCCAAGGTTTTGCTCCCAAACTTAAGTGCGAATGTTAACAATTTTAGTTTATTTCTATACTACATAGATTATGGTGAAAGTCTGTGTCATTATTCGGAAACTATTCAAATTTAAATTACTGCAGGACTATTTATAAAATAATATTTGATTCGTGGCCAAGATAAATAAAGCGTGGTGCTTTACCTCCACTTCGCCATACAACTTCAACTTTTCTTATCCAGTGACTGTGCAAAGCTGAAGTAATGGTGCAGTAATCAAGGACATTATGTTACTGTATACATACGTAGTGTTTTTTAATCATATATATATGACTTCACTTAAATTCTTAATATATGTATAAAAGCAGTCCTGGAAGGGAAGATGAGGGACATTGTGACAATCCAGATATATTTTCATCCAGAATCTGAAGAGGAGAAATATGACCTTGAAACATTGCATATGGCTACTACTGAAGGACCTCGAATTTTATTTAATCAGTAGTGAGGTCCCTTTTGTACTGTGCCCGGAACCAGTTATGTATTCCTACACTATACACCACGAGTCTAAGTACTGCCGCAAATGAGCATATGAACATTCTGTAAACATTTAGGCCCCGTATTGACGAACGTGTAGCGAGCGAATCTTCGTATTTTAGTCGAGTAATAACTAAAGATTGCCACCGTATAAAATAGTATAGGAACGACTATGCATTCAGACAGTTCTATATTAATACAGTCGCCGGTGCTATGGTAAAGCCCTAAAAGTTAAAGAAATTAAAAACAATTTTCGGAAAGTTATCATAAAAAAAAAGTTTATTGAAATTATAGAAATATAATTTCACAAATTGCACATAAACTTACGGCTGGCGTATTCCTTCTAATAAATTACGTGTAACAGGAAATATAAGCTGTCAAGTAGTAAGGTACTTCGGTTGTGATTTCTTGAGTTTCACCTCTTTACCCTAACACAGGCGAACTGTTGAAAGCAGGAAGAATTGCTCTTATGAAAATTCTAGGGATACCTCGGTCTTAGTAAACTTACAAGCAGAATGAGGACGACATAAGTTCAACTCTTGCCAAAGGTAAAATGTTCCTTCTTCCGTACGTCCACAATGGCTGTTTCGGGCTCTCTTTCTGAAGTTAAGGTGGCCGGGGGTTAAACTCCATCTAGTTATCGGGCATTGATTGCTTTAAACTTTAATGCGTGCCAACAGGAACACTGAACATCCGGTTGCTGTTAAAAGAAATCTGAGTAAAAATAAGTTACGTCATCCTAGGAGGTGACGTCTTTTAAATTTCCCCAACTACTCTGGCTACCCTCTGCCTCTGCAGGTAACGTAACAAAGGTTTATCTTTGCATTTAAAACTGTATATGCAGGATGCAAATTTGACGTTTAAATGCTCTTTCTGGGATCAGCACATCTCTAGGAAAGTAAAATATTAATCGGCCCAACATTAGACAATAGATTAATACATAAGTTACCGGCCGTCGAAATCGACTACCTTACAAGCAATACTCATATATCGAGACTGGGCAGAGTCAGAAATATGTATAATATAAAATAAATGAATGCTTAGGAATCAATATTGGACAGCGTAAAAGCAAAGGCAACTTCAATGGCTTGGACACTAATGCTCATGAAAGATAAATGATCACCTCACAGAATACAAAGTGCCCATAAATTAGTGGGCGATTTGAAAGGTGTGTAATTACAACACATTCGAAAGAATTACGTATGAAATTCCGTGTCCACGTGTGGAAAAGCTTGAATGTTGTGTTGTTTCGCAGTACGTAAGTTTTTCGTACGTGTTATAGATAGATAATTACACGCCCTTTGTGAACATCCTATTTTTCAATGGCCACCAGCAGGTAGGAGCTAGAAATGTAAACCTCGCAGATCATGGTAGGAGGGCATGGATGAATATACTGGAATTCACTATCTATGATGTAACAAACCGAGGCGAATGGAAATTTGGTACAAGAAGTCAAGGACCAATCGTGTGCGACAGAATAAAGAAAAGATAAAACTATTTTTGCCTATGTATATATAAAAGTGGAAAATTTTGTAATCGTGTTTTGCGACCATTTTTCGATTATTTTGACGACTGAATGTCGCGTTTCGCAAAAGCACTATTTTTCTTTTCACAGCTCTGGGATCGATTCTAAGTCACATGGTATTCGTAAAGTAATACATTATATAAATTCCTTTTCTTAAAGCAGGTTAATGCAAAATTATATTAGGTTTAAGCCTTGCTGTTATTTCACTACTGTTACAATAAAGAACAGAACTGTTCAGAATACACTGTATTAAACTGGAATGTCAAAATGTTTATTTAATTACGGACCTGGAGACATCCAGAATTCATACTGGTAGAGGAATTCTGAGCATGCCAGATCACTAGGCCGCTAGTTTAAAATTCTCTTTTAATAGATTCCTGTCATTTCTTGCAAGACAACACATGCCGTCACTCCGTTACGTGATAAATCGGACGAAAATTCGTTGCATCCATAACTTGCTACTGTATTCATGCTTCGTCAAACTTTTAATAAATATTAACATATATTTTAATGTAAGTTAAGACGACTATAAAACAACATGCAACACTGATATTTGTGAAAATAAATGGAATGAAACAAAATTATCAACATAATATTACTTTTATTTACAAGTAACATTGCTGAGTTTGAAGTATTCAAGAATATGTGACCTGTCTTTCTGTAGCTTCATAGGATTGTCAAAACAATTATGTATTGTCAGATTGCATTACTTATAACAATGTCTCTGAAATTTCATTACAGCAGAATAATACCGGTACATAATACATTTATACATGCAAATGATGAAACAGATGTAATGCTCCAGTACATTATTTGCTATGTTTGCTCTTTTTTATACTTAAACGTCCATCATAAATCTGTCATAATATTTTAATTATGTCCACTGTATGTAAAATTACCAACTGTAAGGTCATTAATTCATGTTGTGTTGACACACATCGATAGAGAAATATTTATATTTTCACGAGGGTTAATGAAGGTCAACTTTGGATACAGAAATCCAGCTCACACTTAGCTTTTGGCTTAACAATACTTCAATGGCACTCCAGCCCAGAGCTATCATTTTCAAATGTAACAAAATGATAACCAAGCCTTATTTACGGGTACCCAACTTTTCAGTTAGCTTGATCTATGGACATTTAGTACGACTCCTTGGACGAGGGAAATAACTTGTTTTCAAATGTGTTATTTTTGTAAAATTATTTAATTTCTCTCAATAATTCTACCATGAGACTTCACTGAAATGTACTTATATTACTAAAATGGGCTGGAAAAGAATTCTAATAAAAATTCTTAAATGATCCAACATATCCGAAGGAAATATCTGAGGACCTCAAAGTTGGTAACACTTACTACACTTTATATATATATATATATATATATATATTTGTAGTTTTCATTAGTAGTTAATACGTATGTGAACATAAATTTCAAAGTTGAGGATAATTCAAAAACATTATTACCAATTTTTATGCTATTTTTTTGAATAAATTTAAATTGAAAATTACAGCGATAATGTTTAAATTCAAACTGTTCTAAGATGTGAATTAATCATACAAGATAACTACGTAATAAATCTTCACATTTTATTTCACAATTTCTATAAAAGTGTATTCGCACCGTTCAGCTTCGCAAACAACCTTAGCTCCTGAGCAGGTTACGTGCAATTGTATATATTAGAATAGTCACACGGATGAAAGAACCTTCAAACAATTACAAAGAATTCTCTGTGTACAAAAAACACAGCGTGCTGTTAAGATCAGTGCTTCCAAAACTTCACAATGGGTTCTCTATATTCAGCCTTAATCATTTATGAAGCTTAACCATATTTCATTATTTTCAGATAAAAATTGTTTTCCTTTTAATCAAATGTTACTTCAACCATGAATCTCAGTAAATTGAATTTCCTTTTTTTTCGGTTTAACAATGTTTGTACATTTACCGGTACTCTTTACGGGTCCCCAACTTTTTTCAGTTGGCTTGATCTATGGAGAGTAAATTGAATTTTAAAGGCATTAATTTAAACAGTTTCTTTCTTAACATATTTATTTTTAACATTAGTATATGGCATCATTATTTCCAGTGCTAAAAGTGAGCTATTTCTTTCTGTGGAAATAGTGTTTATATAAATACATCCCTTTTCGAAGTATCAATATTCTTAAAATATTTTACTAAGTACTGGGAATTCCCCACTTAATGGTACCTGCACCTTGTCGTGGTGGTGGGGCTTGAGTACCTCGGTGACCCCAAGAGCTATGCTGACGGTAGCATAGCTAATGTTAGGGTCGAGGGGGAGAGGTCAGACTAAGACAGGTACCCTGGTCCTCCAGGTTGGGGGTTGGTCGCAAGGCTAAGAACCTTGCACCGTAAAAATGAAGATGTTTCGAAACCTCAATCAGAGCCTCGGACAGATGGGCCTAACAGAGGACCGAATGGAAGAGGAGAATTGAGGAGGCCATCGAC